TCATTTTAATTCTTTTGTTTTATTGGTTGTCTCGTGATAAATAGTGCAAACTCTTTCTTTTTAGGTATATGATGCTGATCAATGGAAAAAACGAAGTGTACATGATCGACAGGGACAATGCCGTCTTCCACATATCAAACCTCGAGTTTCCTTTCCGGAAGGATCCACGCGTCCACTTGTCCAAAACTCTACTGGATGGGGTGAGGAGTTTTTCTTGCATATATTGGTGCTCCCGTTGGCTTTACATTTTTTTTTTTTTTTTACATATTCTGTTCATTTTCCCTTTACTTTCCTAGTTCCTGCAATAACTCTAAATGCCCCTTCAATCTATAACTTTGTCACGCTCTCATAAAGCTCCCAGTGCTCAGTGTTGCAGAAAATTGATGCCATTTTACAAATCTGAGGTGAAAGCACAGGAAGCAAAGCTTGCAGGAGTTGGCTGACAGAAACATGATCACTCGTGTTCTGGAGAAATTGCTCATTAAATGATACAGTTTCCTGCATGCGTTTTGGCTGTAACACACTGTTGTGCATGGGAGTTTCTCTAACCTCCAGTCTTGTTGTAATAGTAGGGCCCAGCTCTAACAGACAAGTATGTGCTGCATTGGTTACAGAGGTCCCTGCTTCCCCAAGCAGCAGGTGCCCGATAAGTATGAGTCATTTTAGTTTTCCTTCCTGAGAAAACATACAAAAGAAAGTGTTTCTGCTTCGTTACATGTGATAAATAGCTGCATATCCGTGTGTTTAGTTGAACTGATGAGTACTGATAAGTTTTTGTTGTTGCTTTTACGTTTTGCTTTACATTTTTTTGCCCTTGTTTTTTATATTATGCAAAGCAGCCTCCTATTTGCAGAACTGTTACAGACTAATGTGGTGAATTTAGCTTCCACACTCCGGTAGGACATCAAATTGCAATCTATATAGATGCTCATTTGAAGAAGCTGCACCAATGGATTTTTATGTTGCCACAAGGTTTGTTTTGACTCCTGTTTATTCATGTGTTGATGCTTCTGGCTCTCCGTTTATAGAGGCTGTCCTCAGCTGTTTACTGAGAGCTGTGGAAACAAAAACAAAAAATGTTTTTGTTTTTATATCCATGGCAATGACAACAATCTATTCCTCTATCTGCTTTGAGCTGCAGCTTCTAATGACCTTGATCTTTATTGTAGATTTAATTCCCGGTGGCTTTCAGTAGCTGCATTGGTGCGTTCATCTGTTACTGTCTGTCTTTGCAGAGGTTCAGTGCACCAGATGCACAGTAATGGCAGCCTGCTGCTTTTGCATCATTTCTTCTCCTCAGCCCCATGTCGGTGTCATGCATGCCCCCCATTAGTTTCCTTTCTCCTCTCCACCAGTCTGGCTTTGACAGTCTATATTAGATATTCAGCTCCCTTCATAAAACATACACCACATAGAATTTATATGCTTCTTCACTTTTGGTCAAGTTTGCTATTGACAAATGAGCTGAAAGCTGTTTTGGAAGTTAGTACATAAAGATTTATTCTACATTTTTTGAGGAAATGTTGCAATAGTCAAAGAAAGATACTACAATTATGCCATATAATTAGCACAAAAACATAGTTGTGAACTAAAAAAAAAATGTCTTTACTTGTTCATTGCATTGATATCTTTACTTGGATTCATAGTTGTGTTCTTCTCAGATAAAAATAGGGTTGATTCCAGCAGCTTAGTCTGACGCTAAAATGAAACATTGAGTGCTTTTCTGAAGACAACTAAGCTGCTGCGGTGGCAGAGAAACATTAGCTGGATCAAGACTTTTAAAAAGGGCCTGCATTTCCAAATGACACTTGGCAGGTGCCATTTAATCATCTGTCATCACTGTCCAATGTTTCCACAAAATTTCTTTCTGCCTGTTGCTGAGCACTGAAGGCAAAAAAAAATAAATAAAATGGTGGTTTACTGTTGTGTTCTTCTTCACAGCAGATGCTCTGCATTAGTTCTGTCAGTGTGAACATGTCACAGGAGCATTTTAAAACTGTCTGATTATGAATTGAAGCATACAAATTTATATATTTTTGCTTTGTGCATGTCTTGATAACACTTATTTGTCAGACAAATTCCAAAATAAAAAGTAGAGGAAAAATTAGGAAATTGATTTAGATACTTTTTGGACTCAGTCAAAAGGTGAATAAAAACAATTGATATGATTATCATTATATTTGTATGTATTTGTCTCTACATCCTGCAGTCTGTCGTCCTGCCTATCCGTCTATCCATCCATCTCTCTGCCATCTGTCCACCAATCTGTGCATCCATCCACCCCTCTATCAAACCATTCTTCTGTTTATCCAACCCTCAGTGCCTTCACCATTCTCTGTCCATTTGTCAGTGAATAAGTTCATCCATCCAGCCGGCATGCATGCAAGCTTGCACGCATGCACCTGTCTTCTTAATCATACATGCATCTAAAAGTTAACAAATCCATGCATATTCTCGTTTAAATGATGATTTATTAACATTAGAGCTCCTCAGTTTACTGTGAGTTACACACCCAACATTCCTCTTTCATTTTGTATTCCTGTCTGCCCACCCCTCCATCCATCTGCTCATTTGTGCATCTGCATCTTAATTGTCTGATTTAAAAAAAACTACTGGAATGGTAGAATATCTCATTCAAAGGAAAACACTGCATATATAGTAATCCTAATCACAGCAAAGTAGTGAAGGCATGTGAGAAATAAATTTTTTCCTGAAGCCTGTCAGAAGAGGTGAACGTGATATTAGCAGTCCACTAGTTTTCTTTCTTGTAGACGTTTTCTCCAGTTCTGGATTTTTCAAATCCCTGCTTGTTTAACATATATACCGTATATATATATATATATATATATATATATATATATATATATATATATATATATATATATATATATATATATATATATATATAAAATATATATCTTTTCTGTTGCTACCAACTCTTCACTTTGTTTAGATACTGCAGTAGAATGAATTGGATAGTCATAGCAAGGAGCCCCCCCCCCCCATCTACTTTTACTAACTCTTACTAGAGTTAGTAAACAGAGAGAAGTTGCTCTGGGTGAGTACAGGACACAGAGTGAGGTATCTAACTGAAAAATACAAGCAAGAGAACATGTTAGTAAATGTGTATCAAGTATTTCTCTCAATTTTGGTTGTTATGATCCAATTCTGATATTAATATAAACAATTGGAAAGCTTTAGAACTAATGGCCAGAAAGTTGCCCAGGATACGTGTAAACATCTAAAAATAATTTTACTTTCATACCACTTTTATGAAACTCCACCAATGTAACATTTTAGAAACTAGAAACACATTCAAAGACCACAGACCTCTGCCCTAACAGCAAATTATATTTATATTGTGACCTACGCCTATTGATAAAACTCGCACGTCAGGATCATGACTTTTGGATTCCAGTGGAAAAGCTGTCAATAGTAATTGTTGCCACCCTCTGGTTTGGAGGAAAACTGCTTATTTTCTCCATAAATCACTATCTCACAATGTTAAAGAATACATTTTTTTTTCAATCCTGTATCTTGATTATGATCTAGATCATCACCAAACTTTATTGGATTGCTCATTGGCATGAGCAATATATCTCTGGTAAATTTTTTATTAAAATCCGTTGTCTGTCTGTCTGAAACAAAGAAACAAACACACACAAACTCTCCTAAAAACAAGACCTCGTTGGCAAAGGTAATACGTGTTTAAAAACAAAGCATATAAAACCTCTAACAACTTTTATTTGAAACTACAAGCTCAATATATGCAATAAATCAATTAAACAGTGCTGGGACATGCTTTGTTGGTACTAATAAAATTGTTCTAAAAGCTAGTCAGGGGTTTTGAGCTTCATTGAAAGAATGTTTTTTTTTTTTTTTAGCCCTTAATTTTTCCAAGAGAGTATAGGTCTCTAAAGTAGTAACAAAGTCTGCTTTGTTTAGGCTAACCATTCCTGTTTTTTCATCCATCTGCTCCCAAGCGATGATAGTCTGGTTTCTTTGCCTCTCAGTTGTGTAACTATTCCTTCCAAACCCATCTTGTCTGAGTGTCCTGCAGCACTGCTGCACCTGACCTCAGCTTGAGAGCTTTGCATAATAGATGAGCAGTGCTATTTCTGCGTCATGTCCCTCAAAACCAGACCCTTACTTCTCATTCTTAACCATATATACATGCACACCTACACCCACCCCCCAATTCCCTGCTATCCTTGACATTGCTGTTGGCCTCCCTTTTCCCGAATGCCCGTCCTCTGGAGAGAGCTCAGATTCTAGTGTCTCATCCTGCAGAGCTTGAGTCAACAAGGCTTTTACGGTGCTCTGATGCTGAAATTGCTCACTGTTCCCCCCCCTCAATGTTTTGGGTGTGTTTATGTCCTTATTCTGTCCTCTATCTTTATCACCACAGGAGATGATCATCGACAAGGTGAAAGGTCAACCGGTCCCTCGCTATTTGATATATGACATCATCAAATTCAATGTGAGTACCCTGCACTTTTTATAGTGATCTCTTTACCACTGAAAATGCCCAAGGTTAAAGTGATAACGGGAGACACCTTTGGCGGGAACACTTTGATCGCCTTATTCTTTTAAAAATAATTCAGTGCTCTTTTGTGTTTGTCCCCAGGAGTTTAAAGCACGTTAGAAGTTGAATAATTGCATCATATGTTTGATCTGCTTGTCAGGATGAGACATGAAAACAACTTAAAAGATTAAATTCATATTTAGACAACAGTAGAGCATTTATTTGTTTAGACAGAGCAGTTTTCTCCATGTGCAGGATAAGGTGAAGGACTTGGCTGTGTTATTCTTGCACACATAGCTCCTTCCAAAAACATTAATACCCCTCTATCTATTTTATGAGTTGTTAAAACTTTAATGCATTTTACTAGGAGTTTCTTTGGTAGACATGGGATGGGTAGCATAATGATTAAAGGGATCATAGAAATTTGTCACATTTCATCCCAATTTTCGGGGTGTGGGGGGTAAGTATTTCGCCTCTATCAGTCACCCACAAACTGTTTTAAAAATGAAACGTCCCCATTATTGTACTAGTCACTGGCAGTGGACTGCAGTCATCTGACTTGAGGCTGAGACACTGTTTATGTCTGATTCTGCAAGCGTCAATATTTTTCTTTTTTTTTTCTGTCACACTGGTTGCATAGAAGGTCTCTATGGACTACTGCACTGATGAGATTGAGTATTCACAAGAAAGTTTGAACCTGAAATCCCCCAGCAGAAACAAAGCAGGCAGTAAACTTCAGTTTCTGCTCAAACAAGCTTAGAGATGCTGCTTCACTTTATCTGTTTTCTGTATTCCTGAGCTCCTGCTATGATTAATTACACTGTGTTTGTCCAAGTCTTCCCCAATATGTATACAAACTAAAAAAAGTGTCTGTATTTTCTCTCTTTACGTATGATTCATGACATTTCAGTCAAATTGCTTCGTAGGTCCAACCAAATTAGACCAGTGTTCTCCCTTGGTCAGAACTACGCTGGCAAATAATCACATTTAACCAGATGTAATCGCTATGATTTTTGCTTTGTTGCATGATAACTTGTGTTTGTTCATTAAATAAAATCATAACTAAAATACTATGAGGTTCAAGATTACTTTCACAAAACCTGAAAGACTCCCAGCCAAAGTTTTGCTCAGTGTGGTGGAAGTACTGCCTAACCTGTTTTTTATCAAAACAGGATAAGCATTTATCTGATGTAAATCTAAGGCTCTGCTAAATAATTTTTCCATATTAGAAAAGTAATGTTAAAACTGATGTTTCTATGCTTCATTCTTGCTGCCCATTTTTGACAGCTTAAAACGAAACCAAGTGTTAGTTGCCAGCACTCTGCTGAGCTGTAAATGAATTCTCCTCTTCAAGCAATCTGATTCTTACTAATGGCAAACAGGCGCACAGAGAGATGAATTACTGACCTTACATCATACCATTGTCAATCTTTTGCTGTTGTCCTTTTAAAGAGTGAACACACAAAGATAAAGGGTGGAAGAGCTAGCCATTATGTTTCCTGTCATCTCCTTTTTTCTTTATCGATCAGATGAATCAGATAGCCACATTGGCCCAATGAAGGCTCCAGGGGCGAGCGGAATGTCTGCAGGGTGGTTCAGGGGTTAGCATCTCCATGGGACTCGCACCGAGCCATCAGGAAAGCGCTGTTCTATTGATCCTTGCTCGCCATTATTGGCCTTCACCATTATCTCTGTTTGGCTGCGCCTCGGCACTCAGGTTCTGTCCAGAGAGAGGGGAGTAATGTTGGAGGAGAAGGAGGGCTCCAACTGTCTGACTTCTGCCCTGGTATCACTTCTCACTCGTCAGGGAAGTTTGCAGAAGAATTGTTTTGGGATTCCATTATATCCACCCTCTGGCTTCTGTGATTATACATTGCTGTGTTATAGAAGTTTCTTTTATGTATATTTCATTTATTTTTGCTTTATCAGCTCTATTGTCATCAGTGATTCAAGTAAGGCTACAGTTTAGAATTAAAAAGGTCTAAAAATTTAAAAATATGATGGATTTTTTTTCAGGGCTTTTTTTAATAATAAACAAAATCATTTATTTTTTCTTTAACTTAAGTTTCATAATAAAATTGATAAATTACATATATTGCTTTCAGAAACTAGCTTTATTTCCACTCTTCCCTTCTTGAAGGTGACCTTCATTTAAAGGGGAATTCAAGCTATGAAACATGCTTGCAAAATATTTTTTTTTTCACATCAAATAATGAAGATATAGCAATCTAAATGTTTTCAGCCACTGACCTAGTTTATTAGTTAGAAGTATATATATCTGAGAACAAAAAGTGATGAGCTGCTGTCATTCTTAGAATCCAGATTTTACCACACAAAAAAATCTGAGTAATCAATTTTAATCAGTTAATTTCGCCGCCCTACATTCTCTTGATGAATAATGAATTAATTTAGAATTTCCAAATATGATTGATTTCATTTTACTAGCCACTAAGAATGTCCTGATCCAAAGCTGATATTGGAAATTGGTCTTAAATGAGCCAAAATACGAGTATCATCTATATCGGCCGACATCTAAAATCTCTAATTTACCGCTATACAACCTCATAGAAAGTTTATTTATTTATTGGTTAATAATAAATGGGTCAGTAGATCTCATTCCTATAGATGTAAACTGTTGTTTGACTAAAACAACTTGGAAAAAGCCTTTTGCAGCTCTTCACACTAACAAAATAGTAAAAGGAGTACCGGTAGGTAAGATTTGTGCTGATATTGTGTCAGTAATAGAAAATACTCAAAGCCACAATATCGGTGTAGTCTCTGAAATAAAAATCCATAAATTGGATTCGAGTACCATACAAACCATTGACATGAATTATTATGTCCAAACCTGTAGAATCAATTAATCACTTAAATAAAACTTCTCAGCCAACATAAAGTAGGTTTGCATTCTCAAAAAGCCGGAAAAAAAAGAAAAAAGATTAAAATGCAAACGGCTACAAAACCTAGAATTAAAAACAAAAATCATAATTTGAGCAATGCACCATTATAGACAATTAAGCCTCTTTCCCACATAAAATACTGCATTAAAGCATGTTTTTCAAACATTTGTTGACATTTGTTGACCTGCTAACATTTTGCATTTGGCTACCTTCCAACTGGCAAAAACATCTCGCTCTAACCCCTCGCTGGCAAGCTGCATGGTCTCTGTCCCCCCTGAGGCTACTTGTCTGGTGACATCATCACGCTGGTTTAGAGTTGATGTCACCAGTGCAACAGAAATCAGAAAAGTTTACAATGGACAGAAATGTGTAAGGAAGCCAGGCCATAGTTAGTGTGCTTAATTTTTTTGATCTTTTCTCCCTCCAAATCCCTCTCACCAGTCCTGCACCATGTTTATTGGGTGTAAACGGAGTTGTTTCGGGTTGTTGGATCAGATGTGACTGCTGCTGGGTGTTGACGTCTCTTCCTTATACTCAATGTTGTCACTTAGTTTAGCAGGTCAGCCCAGCTCTGATGTTCCCACAGAATGCCAGTTAGAGTTGAGACGATTTTAACCCAGGCTGTGGCCAAGTCGTTTGACCCTGCGCTGTTCCCACTGCTACTAAAAGCTCATTGTTCCCGGGTTTAAACGGGATTTTCGGCTAATGGAGAAGGGGTATTATAGATCAGCAGTGATCTACCTGGGTGTGTCTTACCAAAATCACTCTTACAGTTGATCAATAGCTCCTTTTTTAAGCCGTATAATTTAAAGCCCATGATTTGTTTTACTTAGTGAAAAGAAAAAATGTAGGGGTTTGTTTTACCTCCTTTTCGATTGTTTTGAAAGGTACAGCTGGTAAATCAGCTTATTGACGTATGGTGAAGATGTAAAGATGGCAGCATTACATCTTTAGGCCAGAGGTTGGTGGTAATAAGAAAGCAAAGACCAAACAAGGAAACCTCAATAATGAGGCTCTTGTTTTTTCCTCAAACTCAACAAAACAGCAACAAAACCTCTTTTGCTCAAGACTCATGAAAAGGCTGTTAGTAATAGAAGCATTTATAACGTCATTTGTTCACAAATATTATCTTTATTTGCTTTAAAATTAGGCACCTGTTATTTAAAGTTTTGTTATTTGAAGTGTTCTATCGCTAGAATATTTAAAGACAAAGTTTTCTAATAAGATATTTCAGGTTGTCTGTCACTGTCAGCTTCCCCACTGTGGGGGAACTGACAAGATAACAAGAATTACATACATTTCCCTTTTTTTTATTCAATGCTTTTGAAAGCTGTTATTTTGGACTTTATCATCGCCCACATGCTGACACTTGATTGACCTAATTATTTTTTATCCTGCTGGCATAATTTTGCTTTAGATACTGAATTTGACAAGATAATTGGATCAGCTTTATTAAGATTTGAACAGAAACGAGTGCAAATGACACCAGTGACTGCTGTCTTAAGGACAGCTTTCCGTGATTCAGTTACTGTTACTCCTGCTTACTGCTTAAGAGACTGGCTAAGGTTTGCTGCATCATTGCTCTCAGGCCTGAGTAGATTGAAGACTTTTTTTTTTTACCACAGAAGTGTGTAATTTGTTGTGAATCAGATTTTCTGAAACGCTGGATTCTTGATTTATAAATCTTTAATGGTGATAAAAACCATTAACAACTGCAGATTTCATCCAATTTTTATACCTTGGTCATAGTTGGAACTTTGTTATTGGAGAATGTATGAAGCATGATGAATTTAACCTTTAGCAATATGGTGTCTATTTTTAAGAGCGGTTGCCTAACTTGTGGTTTTTGTAGGCTTCTCTCTGTCCTAACTGGAAGAAAACATTTTCAAGGATCAAAGAGAGAATCAAGGAGTTTACGTCTTTCTATTCTTTCAGGGTTTCCGCGGGTCATTAAAAATCATTAAAAGTCATAAAAAGAAAGTTATTTTAAATGAAGGCTTAATTGGCATTAAAATTCAGTAAATGTGATTATCGTGGCATTTAAAATGCTGTATT